AAAATGAAAGTGTTTGCTACTTTTTCCCTTTAACTGGCTGCTGAATTTTAGTTTTAGCAGTTTCTGTTTAAGTTTTTCGTTTCTTAAAATGTTCATGAATGTTTCTTTTTTCATCCATTGAAGTGTGGGAGAGAAGTTATGATGAAAAATGTTCATACAAATTCAAGCAACTCAAACAAAAAACTGAAAATTTGCAATTGCATGCGAAATAATCTTCAAAAAAAAAAAGTGCATGAGAAAAACTGTATTAATTATTCGTGTGGTAGATGAAAAATGAAGGCAACAGCAAATGCAAACAAAAATTAAATTAAAACTTCAGTTGAAAAAAAAAAAAATATTTTATTATTATCGAGTTATGGTTACCCAAGTGTAATAATGAACATCCATCACAATGCAAAAAATGACAGCTGAAAGAATTATCGTTATATAATTGTTAAAAAAAATATATTTTTAATAAACATTACAGAAAATAATGACATCATTGTTAAAAATGAAATCGATAGTTTAAGACAGAATTAATGAGAAAGAAAACTAAAAAACAATAATAGATATTTATTAAGTGTGTTCACACTATATGTTGAGATTTCTAAACAAAACTTTTATAAAATCCCTGAAAAACATTTGCTTTCATAATTGTATGTCATTCTTAGATTTTTTTTAACTCTTCTTTATTCCAAAAATACTAAAAACAAGTCTCCCCTCCTTAATTTATAAACTTGAACCCAATTTTTTTAATAACAAACACATGTTACAATTTAACTGTGTCCAAATATCAATTCCCATAATCTTGATTTTAAAAATGTTCACATGACAAACATATGCGTTTAGCAGCAACTAAAATACACAAAAAAACTCATTCAAGTAAAAACAAAAGAATTAACAAAATTCTCGGATATTTTGCAATTTAATACACCCCATAAATTGACTTTAGAAATGAACTATAATGTTGAAAATATTGTCTGTAGAAAACTGATACTTCTTTAGAATATGTGGAGTTTTTTTTTTATTTATTTTGTGGGGGGAAAGTGGTGTTAAAGGGTGTAATTGAAATGTGAAAAACATATGTTGCTTTATTGCATTATTAAATTTGGATTAATGGAGCATATTAATAAATTTTTTATATATTAATATGATAAAGTTTTGTGCATAACAATAAGACACTAATATTGTATAGGCAGAGCTATTTGATGTTTGCTTAGTCAAGGCGTAGCCATGACTATAGAATATATATAGTCATAAGATAGAATAGCTACTAAGCTGCAGACTAGACTATAACAAACCAAAAGACTATAGACTAAACTATAGTTTAGACTATAGACCAAACTATTGTCTAAGCCATAAACTAGAATATAAATTACACTAAACACTATTGACCAGACTATAGCCTAAACTTCAGACTTCAGTATAATTTCTATACTACATACTAGTTCATAGACTAAACACTAGACTGGATTATAGATTAGACTATAGCCGAAAGTATCTACATAGACTAGATTATGAACTAGATTAAAGGCTATACAATACTAAAGACTGGATTATAGATTAGACTGCAAACTAGAGTATCTACATATTAGACTATAGAATTGACTAAAGACTAGACTATAGACCAGCCTCCACACTAGAATATGGACGAGACTATAGACTAGACTATAGATATACTATAGACAAAAATATAGTCTAGGCTAATCTATAGTCTAGTACATAGTCTTGTCTATAGATTAGCCCATTTTCTATGGTCTAATGGTTATGTCAGTTAGTCTAAGATAGTTTAGTCTAGTCTATAGTCAGTCATGTCTAGTTCTATAGTCAGTCTAGTAAAGTCTAGTCTAGATCTTGTCTAGTTCTAGTCTAAGTCTAGTCTTAGTCTATCTTAGTCTAGTCTATAGTCTGTAGTCTATAGTTAGCTATAGTCTAGTCTATAGTCTAGTCTTATCTAGTCATGGTCTATGTCTAGTATAGTCTGTCTATAGTCTAGTCTAGTCTATAGTCTAGTATGTCTAGTCTATGCTAGTCTATAGTCTAGTCTATAGTCTAGTCTATAGTCTAGTCTATAGTCTAGTCTATAGTCTAGTCTATAGTCTAGTCTATAGTCTAGTCTATAGTCTAGTCTATAGTCTAGTCTATAGTCTAGTCTATAGTCTAGTCTATAGTCTAGTCTATAGTCTAGTCTATAGTCTAGTCTATAGTCTAGTCTATAGTCTAGTCTATAGTCTAGTCTATAGTCTAGTCTATAGTCTAGTCTATAGTCTAGTCTATAGTCTAGTCTATAGTCTAGTCTATAGTCTAGTCTATAGTCTAGTCTATAGTCTAGTCTATAGTCTAGTCTATAGTCTAGTCTATAGTCTAGTCTATAGTCTAGTCTATAGTCTAGTCTATAGTCTAGTCTATAGTCTAGTCTATAGTCTAGTCTATAGTCTAGTCTATAGTCTAGTCTATAGTCTAGTTTAGTCTAGTCTATAGTCTAGTCTATAGTCTAGTCTATAGTCTAGTCTATAGTCTAGTCTAGTCTATAGTCTAGTCTATAGTCTAGTCTAGTCTAGTCTATAGTCTAGTCTAGTCTATAGTCTAGTCTAGTCTATAGTCTAGTCTATAGTCTAGTCTATAGTCTAGTCTATAGTCTAGTCTATAGTCTAGTCTATAGTCTAGTCTATAGTCTAGTCTATAGTCTAGTCTATAGTCTAGTCTATAGTCTAGTCTATAGTCTAGTCTATAGTCTAGTCTATAGTCTAGTCTATAGTCTAGTCTATAGTCTAGTCTAGTCTATAGTCTAGTCTATAGTCTAGTCTATAGTCTAGTCTAGTCTATAGTCTAGTCTAGTCTATAGTCTAGTCTAGTCTATAGTCTAGTCTATAGTCTAGTCTATAGTCTAGTCTATAGTCTAGTCTATAGTCTAGTCTATAGTCTAGTCTATAGTCTAGTCTAGTCTATAGTCTAGTCTAGTCTATAGTCTAGTCTATAGTCTAGTCTATAGTCTAGTCTATAGTCTAGTCTATAGTCTAGTCTATAGTCTAGTCTATAGTCTAGTCTATAGTCTAGTCTATAGTCTAGTCTATAGTCTAGTCTATAGTCTAGTCTATAGTCTAGTCTATAGTCTAGTCTATAGTCTAGTCTATAGTCTAGTCTATAGTCTAGTCTATAGTCTAGTCTATAGTGTAGTCTATAGTCTAGTCTATAGTCTAGTCTATAGTCTAGTCTATAGTCTAGTCTATAGTCTAGTCTATAGTCTAGTCTATAGTCTAGTCTATAGTCTAGTCTATAGTCTAGTCTATAGTCTAGTCTATAGTCTAGTCTATAGTCTAGTCTATAGTCTAGTCTATAGTCTAGTCTATAGTCTAGTCTATAGTCTAGTCTATAGTCTAGTCTAGTCTATAGTCTAGTCTATAGTCTAGTCTATAGTCTAGTCTATAGTCTAGTCTATAGTCTAGTCTATAGTCTAGTCTATAGTCTAGTCTATAGTCTAGTCTATAGTCTAGTCTATAGTCTAGTCTATAGTCTAGTCTATAGTCTAGTCTAGTCTATAGTCTAGTCTATAGTGTAGTCTATAGTCTAGTCTATAGTCTAGTCTATAGTCTAGTCTATAGTCTAGTCTATAGTCTAGTCTATAGTCTAGACTATAGTCTAGTCTATAGTCTAGTCTATAGTCTAGTCTATAGTCTAGTCTATAGTCTAGTCTATAGTCTAGTCTATAGTCTAGTCTATAGTCTAGTCTATAGTCTAGTCTATAGTCTAGTCTATAGTCTAGTCTATAGTCTAGTCTATAGCCTAGTCTATAGTCTAGTCTATAGTCTAGTCTATAGTCCTAGTCTATAGTCTAGTCTATAGTCTAGTCTATAGTCTAGTCTACGGTCTAGTCTATAGTCTAGTCTAGTCTACGGTCTAGTCTATAGTCTAGTCTATAGTCTAGTCTATAGTCTAGTCTATAGTCTAGTCTATAGTCTAGTCTATAGTCTAGTCTATAGTCTAGTCTACGGTCTAGTCTATGGTCTAGTCTATAGTCTAGTCTATAGTCTAGTCTATAGTATAGTCTATAGTCTAGTCTATAGTATAGTCTATAGTATAGTCTATAGTCTAGTCTATAGTCTAGTCTATAGTCTAGTCTATAGTATAGTCTATAGTATAGTCTATAGTCTAGTTTATAGTCTATTGTCTATAGTCTAGTCTATAGTCTAGTCTATAGTCTAGTCTATAGTCTAGTCTATAGTCTAGTCTATAGTCTAGTCTATAGTCCAGTCTATAGTCTAGTCTATAGTATAGTCTATAGTATAGTCTATAGTCTAGTCTATAGTATAGTCTATAGTCTAGTCTATAGTCTAGTCTATAGTCTAGTCTATAGTCTAGTCTATAGTATAGTCTATAGTCTAGTCTATAGTCTAGTCTATAGTATAGTCTATAGTCTAGTCTATAGTCTAGTCTATAGTCTAGTCTATAGTCTAGTCTATAGTCTAGTCTATAGTATAGTCTATAGTATAGTCTATAGTCTAGTTTATAGTCTATTGTCTAGTCTATACTCTAGTCTATAGTCCAGTCTGTAGTCTAGTATATAGTCTTCTATAGTCTAGTCCATAGTCTAGTCTTTAGCCTAGTTTGTAGACTAGTATTTATTTTTAGTATTAAGAATATTCCAATTAATTCCTATTGACATTTTTCCACTAAGCAACATTCTCCTAAAAATAGGCCATATTTTATCTTCTTTTCATAATATCCTATTTGTCATTAAAACAAAAAATACACACCTCATTTAACAACAACAAAAATATATTTTCAATTATGTTTTCTGCCTAAAACAAAGATATAAAATATTCATTAATAAAACCTAAATATATTTACCAACACTTCGTTATGTTTTTTTGGTACCACAAGCTTATTAAATTCCCATTAATATTTTACAGAAATAAACCTACTTTATTAATAGATAAAATCATTTACTGTTGTAGAAATTTGTACTAAACATATGTAATATGTATGTATTAGTGGGGAAAAAGAGTGAGAGAACAACTTACCATTATTTATGTTATTAAATTTATTTGCTGCCACGAGCCTAAAAATAGACAACAGAAAAAAAAAACATTTAGATAAGAAAAATGTCATTTATTATTTTAGGCTGAAAGAAAATGTTTTTTCCTCATTGAATATGAGAGTACACAGTGACATGTAATTAGTTGGTATTAAATAAGAAATTTTCGAAAAAAAAAAAAATGTATTTGTTTAAGTTGAGAATGTATGTTAAAATAAGTTTTATACAAATATAAAGTGTCAATGACTTTTAAATGTGAAATAAAACATGTTTTACGAGTAAAGGAACAGAACATTTTTTGTGTTTAAATAATAAATGAAATAAATTGTAAGCAAGCGCCTAAAAGTAGGCTATGTTTTGTAAATATATTTTGTTTTTTTCTTTTTGTGAGGAAATCTTTGTGAAAAGTAGGTAAATAAGGAAATTTTAAAAAGAAATTTTATTTCCATTGAAATGTATTTAAAAATTTACTTTTACTAGAGTTTAGTTAAATGAATTTTAAAAAGGGTTTTTTTAAATCATTTTTTATGTAAATTATATATTTAAATATATATTTTAAAAATTTTCATCAAAATTTTAATTAACTTTCCTTGTTAGTTACTAAAACATTAGATAAACATCTAATCATGTTTTAAATATATAATTTGTATGCCTGTTATTATGCTTCACTGTTCACACATGCCAAAAAATCGTTTAGCCTACCTTAAGGCTTAAGTTTATAACACATATTCATTGCCTACTTTCAGACTTAATTTTAAAAATACTCAATTTAAATTAAAATAACACATCACACACATTTTCAAGGTCTATTTGCATAAATTTCAACGAACTTTTTACACAAGAATAAGTTATTTACCCTTAAAAAAATATATTTTATGATAAATATTTTCTATCACATGTTAAATATTATTATATTAAAACAGTATCAGCGAAAGATATAAATGTATGACACTGTCATCACCTCATAAAATTCAACCAAACCTGAATAAAATATCATTTTATTAAATGCTTCAATGAAATTAAATATTTAAAAATAGTCCAAAAATTAATTAAAAATTTGTTGCAAATTTTTCATTTCAATTAATTTCTTTTCCTAAATGCTAAATTTAAATCTGCTGTTTGATGTTATAGTAACCTTCATTTTCAAAATTGTTGATATATAAAAATTTATATTGCAAATTATTTTTCGTTTTAATTTTAGTTTTTTTTTTTTTAAATATATTTTTGGCTTAACGCCAGGTGACATAGAGACTCATATTTAAGAAACCCTTGAATTTAAACAAACAACAAAAAAATAATCGGGCAACAGTAAGAAAATATTAAAATGCTTAAACTAGAAAATAAGTAAGAGTAATGTATAGGACATGGACGAATTAAAAGTACACTGCGGAGTATAACAGAAAGAGTTTTTAAGTACTGACTAGACTATACGTTAGTTCACAGTATAGTCTAGTCTATAGAAACCTATAGACTAGACTAAAATATAGTCTAGTATAGTCTGTGGTCTAATCTATAGTCTAGTCTATAGTGTAGTCTATACTTTAGTCTATAGTCTAGTCTATATTCTAGTCTATAGTCTAGTCTATAGTCTAGTCTATAGTGTAGTCTATAGTCTAGTCTATAGTCTAGTCTATAGTCTAGTCTATAGTTATAGTGTAGTCTATAGTCTAGTCTATAGTTATAGTCTAGTCTATAGTTATAGTCTAGTCTATAGTCTAGTCTATAGTCTAGTCTATAGTCTAGTCTATAGTCTAGTCTATAGTCTAGTCTATAGTCTAGTCTATAGACTAGTCTATAGTCTAGTCTATAGTCTAGTCTATAGACTAGTCTATAGTCTAGTCTATAGTCTAGTCAATAGTTATAGTCTACAGTCTAGTCTATACTCTAGTCTATAGTTATAGTCTAGTCTATAATCTAGTCTATAGTCTTGTCTATAGTCTAGTCTATAGTTATAGTCTAGTCTATAATCTAGTCTATAGTCTTATCTATAGTCTAGTCTATAGTGTAGTCTATAGTCTAGTCTATACTCTAGTCTATAGTTATAGTCTAGTCTATAGTCTTATCTATAGTCTAGTCTATAGTGTAGTCTATAGTCTAGTCTATACTCTAGTCTATAGTTATAGTCTAGTCTATAGTCTAGTCTATAGTCTTGTCTATAGTCCAGTCTATAGTGTAGTCTATAGTCTAGTCTATAGTTATAGTCTAGTATAAAGTCTAGTATATAGTCTAGTCTATAGTCTAGTCTATAGTCTAGTCTATAGTCTAGTCTATAGTCTAGTCTATAGTCTAGTCTATAGTCTAGTCTATAGTCTAGTCTATAGTCTAGTCTATAGTCTAGTCTATAGTCTAGTCTATAGTCTAGTCTATAGTCTAGTCTATAGTCTAGTCTATAGTCTAGTCTATAGTCTAGTCTATAGTCTAGTCTATAGTCTAGTCTATAGTTATAGTCTAGTCTATAGTTATAGTCTAGTCTATAATCTAGTCTATAGTCTTGTCTTTAGTCTAGTCTATAGTGTAGTCTATAGTCTAGTCTACTCTAGTCTATAGTTATAGTCTAGTCTATAGTCTAGTCTATAGTCTTGTCTATAGTCTAGCCTATAGTGTAGTCTATAGTCTAGTCTGTACTCTAGTCTAGTATATAGTCTAGGCTATAGTCTAGTCCATAGTCTAGTCTATAGTCTAGTCTATAGTCTAGTCTATAGTCTAGTCTATAGTCTAGTCTATAGTCTAGTCTATAGTCTAGTCTATAGTCTAGTCTATAGTCTAGCCTATAGTCTAGTCTATAGTCTAGTCTATAGTCTAGTCTATAGTCTAGTCTATAGTCTAGTCTATAGTCTAGTCTATAGTCTAGTCTATAGTCTAGTCTATAGTCTAGTCTATAGTCTAGTCTATAGTCTAGTCTATAGTCTAGTCTATAGTCTAGTCTATAGTCTAGTCTATAGTCTAGTCTATAGTCTACTCTGTACTCTAGTCTATAGTCTAGTCTATACTCTTGTTAATGGTCTAGTCTATAGTCTAGTCTATAGTCTAGTCTATAGTCTAGTCTATAGTCTAGTCTATAGTCTAGTCTATAGTCTAGTCTATAGTCTAGTCTATAGTCTAGTCTATAGTCTAGTCTATAGTCTAGTCTATAGTCTAGTCTATAGTCTAGTCTATAGTCTAGTCTATAGTCTAGTCTATAGTACAGTCTAGAGTCTAGTCTATAATCTAGTCTATAGTCTAGTCTATAATCTAGTCTACAGTCTAGTCTATTGTCTAGTCTATAGTCTACTCAATAGTATAGTCTATTGTCTAGTCTATAGTACAGTCTAGAGTCTAGTCTATAATCTAGTCTATAGTCTAGTCTATAATCTAGTCTATAGTCTAGTCTATAGCCTAGTCTATAGTCTAGTCTATTGTCTAGTCTATAGTCTACTCAATAGTATAGTCTATTGTCTAGTTTGTTGTCTATGCTATACTCCGCTCTATAGTATGATCTATTCTCTTCTCTTTAGACGAGTGTATGATCCAGTAGTTTAACAGCATGACAAACTTAAAAATATGTATACAAATACCAAATTTTAGTTTATAAATCGATATTTAAGACACCATACAGCCACCACCACTAGAAGAGATTTTCTTTTTTATGAGGAGAAAAAAATTATTTAAATTTATTTTTTATTTTTTTTTTTTTTTTTTTTTGAATAATAAACACATATAACTATAATTCATTACAATTTATATGCTTAAAAATAAACATTTCGATGACGTTAGCAAGGAAAGCAAATAAAATAAAAATGTCTCGTGTACTCATCGTATGATAACAACAACAAGAAAAAGTATTATTTCTCCTTTTGCTTGTTGTTTTTATTTTTATTGTTTTTTTTTTCTATATTATGGTGATTTTGGTATTTGTCATAACACTTTACCACCATTATTGACACCACCAACCAACAAAAACAAATCACGTCATCAAACTCATCATTATTTATTTTTGTTGTTGTTTGGCGAAACGTCATTCCTGTAATATTGTGTGTTTGTTTTCTATTTTTTGCATAGAAAAGAGAGAGAGAGAGAAAATAAAAACAAATTGATGATGATTGCATTTGTTTTTTTTTTTTTTGCTTAGTGAGGTGTGGATTAGAATTGTTATTAAAAATAAAATCATTCATGCTAAATGAACAATCGTTTATTAAGTATTGTGTTAATGCTGGTTAAGTAGTAGCCTTTTCCCTGCAACTACTTTATTTTACAACTCTGTATTTTGTTTACATTTTAGAACTGTGTATTTATTTGAAGAATTGTTTACATTTTTTTTAATTTATGCGATTTTCTTGTAAGCCTTTTCTATATTTATTACCTTAATTAAATAATTCCTTAAAAAAGTTGCAAAACTAAAACTTTTTATTTTTTCTATTTTATTACAATCTATTCAAACATTTCACTCTTATCATCGTTATATTTTATGTCTTTTTTTCTGTTTGGTTCATCCGTTCCCTGACTTTATCATAATAGAATATTTTTTTTTGACATTTGTATACAGAATAGCAATAATAAAAAGAAATTTATATAATAAAAAATTCTAACTATTAGGTTGTAGAAAAAAATATACGATGCTATTTGTGTTGTTGTTTTTGTATTTTGTTATGGTTTTCTTGAACTGTCATTTCAAATGTGTCTGCCTGTCAGTCTATAAGAGGGAATGAATGTATTTACGCGTTAAGTATACGTATGTGTGTACGTAAGTGTTTGAATATGTCAAGTGATAAGATGCCATCATGATTTTTTAGATTCTATTATTGTTATAGAAAAACTAGAAAAATATTAATAAAATAGGAAATAAATGGAAATAAAATATTTATGAAAAAAAAAAAAAAAAATTGTCAACATAAAAAAAGTTTTGTTAAACATAAACCTAGTTTTTAACAAAGATTTATTTATTATTTAGTTTAAAATAATGTTTTAGAAAAGATCGTGAATGTTATCTACAGTCTGTACTCTAAGCTACTTTAGACTCAACAATAGTTTCGACTATAGTCTATAGA